TCCCTGGGATTTAGCTCATTATTATCATCCAATCATGGAATTAAGGGAGATGCGATGACTTTGCATGGACAGCATGTGCTACGCGATGGACGGGGGCGCACGGGGGCTCCGGACCCCACCCCTTCCCATTCAGCCTGAGCTATTCTAAGCCATGCAGGCCCAACGCAGAAGCCAGCAACCTTGCCAGCACGGATCAGCGTTTGCTTCAGACTCGCAGGTGTTGGCCAGGGCCAGGTGGCTCGCGCTCCGCAATTCGCCCTTTTTCAGGTAATGAGTCCCCTGTCATTTCACAAGCCCCAGTAATTTCTTGGCTTGGCTATTGTAATCTGCTTAAGTTTGAGATGCCCTTGAAGTCAGTTCAGAAATGTCAAATCATGGTAGCACGGCTTTTCTCAAGGGCTGTTCCTGGGGAGCGTATTAAACAAGTACTTAGAGGTTGCCAGCAACTTCTAAAATACGCCAAGGATTTGATGGTGATGGTGATGTGTTTGTGTGTGGAAAATCGAGTGGAGATTTACAATTTGCACACCCAGATTCCGGTTCATTAGCCCTGCTTTGGTGCCAGCTTGTTGGGCTGTAAGTTGAGCCAGCTGTTGAACTCAGTCTCTGGGGTGGATCACAAGTGGCACATTTTTTAAACCGGTAATGAAATTTGTGCAAATGAGGCTTTAGTGCAATTTGCACAGAATCAGCCAAGTTGTGCAAATGGCAATTTTATGCAAATTGGCCAATTCTGCATAAAACACTTTAGAGTTGATTGGGGAGGTCCCTTCTCACTTGCTCTGTTTCTGTTTTCAAGTACTCATTTGCAAAACATCATTAGTGGTTTAGAACAAAGGAAGACTTTGGTGCACAGATGTTGGTTTGTCTTGAGACAGAAGACTGCAAAGCCAGACAAAACAGAACCACCACTGGACCTGCTTTGGATCATCAGACCAAAGGGGGCAGGAAATTCATTGGGTTCAAAGTATTAGAACTTTTCTGGTTTGCTACTTAACCCTAACCTGAATTTTAACCCCAACCTGAACACCCAGGTATCCTCCTTGTGCATCCAGACAACATTCACCAAGGCAGCATTCAAGACAACGCCATCAACTGCCAACCTTGCTCACCCCATCAAGGATTGTGGGATGGTGTAACCTGGTGTCCTACACCAGCAGGGGATTGGACCTGATGGACTTCATGGCCCCTTCCAACTCTCCTATTCTATGAATCCAACCCTCTGGATATACATGGCCACCCAAGTTTTTCTCTCTAACCACCTAAATTGGAAAAAAAAAAAAAAAAAAACAACCCTCCAACCCTGGCTACTTCCAGGTCCCTGGCATGCAAAGGAATCTAGTGCTTGCTAACCCTATCCCAAACCCGAAGCTTAACCTCAATCCTAACAACCAGGTATTATCCCTATCTGTCCAAAATCATCCCCAAAGACAGAAGATAGAGTGTTCCTGCTGACAGCTCACTCTTTCTGCCCTAAGCAGGGGTAGTTTCTGGCTCCTGGTCATGGGCAGGAAGGCAGTTTTTCTGACCCTGCATCCCAACCTGAAGTCTCACCCCAGCGCTAATTCCTGTGCTGCTAACAGCCCTCCGTGGCTGAAGCTACTTCATGGCCTTCTGCTATTTACACAGCATCCACTTCTGCAGAGATCACAGTAGAAATGAGTGATTTTCAATGGTTTCTTTGCAAAAATTGGATTAGTGGTTAAGAGAACATGTTCACATCATGGTCGTCTAAAAACCCAACTTGGCCCCCTTCCAAAATCAGATCAGAAATGAACAGGAAATCCAGCTCACTCAAATAAGTCAGATTACCCTGTCTTGGTCCATCTCTAATTTCAGACCTGGGCAGGGCGGTGCCAAAATGGAAGGGTTGGTCATAACCAAGGAATAAAGCAGGTCCAATCCCAAAGTCAAGACTGAAGAACAACTGAAGGTACAAGAGCTTCAGAAGAGCTTGGTGCTCAGCAATGGCTCCACTCGGGATGGTCCTTTGCATAATGGCAGGCTTGGAGAGGCAGCGCTCGTCCCAGGCCTGAGGTTCGTTGCACAAAGGCGCTTCCAACCGTGACTCAGTGGCTCACCAGGCAGGAGTCATTGCTCCAGAAATGCCCTTCAGGCCTTCTCCTTTAAAACCCACCCATTCCTGGAAACTGAGATCGAGTTCAGAGGTAAGGCCTTGCATCCAGCACAGTTAGGGGTAGTGTGATTCGCTCTTGGAAGAACCTTGCTAGTTCTCTGCTTCAGACCCCTTTCTAAGAGGACAGTGAAAACATTTCTATTGGGCACCGTGATGCTTTATTTTGAATTATACACATTCCTGCTTCCATACTATGCATTCATCATTACGTTGAACGGTTTCTGCTGCTGTCTTGTCTTTAATTATATTGGGTCGGATCCAGACTTCGATGTAATTAGAGTGGACCCAGTGAAATCAATAGGAAGTCACTCATGCCTAACACACGGTCTTTTCAGTGGATCTTCTCTATATGCAGTTAAGATTGGATCTGACCTATAACCCTTCTATAATTTACTGTGATTTGATATTACTGCAAATCACCGCAAAAAATACCCCCATTAGGAATGTCATACGCATTGAAAAAGGATCGACGTGGCTTGCATTTGGTCACCTTGCGGCACTCGCCACACGCCTGTCACCAGGCCAAAGCAACTGAAACTCATTCCAGGAAATCGGGCGCATCAGACACTGTGAGCAGAACTGTGCTAATAACAGAACAGGAGGGGAAGCCAGCCGGTCTTCTGCTGCCGGTAACTTCCATGTTTTCTCTCTGGATAGGCTGCAATGTTCAGGCATTCTAAATTCAGACAGATCAAATGTATCATCCCAATTTAGAAACATAGCAACATGGTGAGTCAGAAGGGCCCTCCTGGGCCATCTAGTCTGACTCCTGGCTCCAGCCAGCTCCATTTATGTAATCCCAAACATGTGGTTGTCTAATCTTTCTTGAGCACCTGATGGGGCCTCTACCACCTCCCATGAAAGCCCGTTCCATATCCTAGCAGTCCTCGCCATCAGGAAGTACTTCCTGACATCCAACCCGAAACCCAGTTCCTTGAGCTTTGCCCTGTTGGACCACTTCCAATTCTCTACCATGGGGGGGAACAGATCATGACCCTCTACTGTTTGACACCCCTTCACATACCTATTTTTCATTATAAGATCCCCTCCGAAGCTCCTCTTCTCCAGGCTGAAAAGACCCAGCTGCCTCAGTGTCATCTCACAGGACATCCTCCCCAATCCGGCTACCATCCTTGCAACTCTGCACTGAACCGATTCTAGCCTAGCTATGCTCCTCTTGTAATGTGGAGCCCAGAAGTGGACATAGTAGTCCAGTTGTGGGTGCACCAGAGTCTTAGACAGCAGCGCCAGCACCTCTCTCAGTATGGAAGAAATACCTCTGGCTATACATCCAAGGGAGGTATTTGCCTTCTTAACCGCTGCGTCACACTGCTGGGTCATGTTTAGCCTGCAGTCGACCTGCGCCCCGAGGTCCCTTTCACAAGTGCTGCGCTCCAGCCACTTGCCCCCTGTCCTGTACCTGCGGCATCTATTCCTGATTCCCAAGTGCAAGACCTTGCACTTATCCGCACTGAATGCCATCCTGATGTCCCCAGCCCACTTCCACAGCCTGTCCAGATCCTTCTGGATCTGGAAAACCTGCTCCCCGGTTATGGCCTCCACTCCTTTGGTATCAACTCCCAATTTAGTCAGCAGACTGGTTACCCCCTCCTCTGGGTCGTTGATACTGAAGTTGAACAGAATCAATAGGACTTTAAAGCAGGTCCATATGACACACAGTAGAACTGGCTATTCTCCTGCTTGTAATGTTGGTGTTTTCTATGCAAATAATATGAAATGCACAGCCTTTCTAATACTCCCTGACTTACAGCTCTAAGCATCATTTTGACTGGAAAAACCTTTATATCTCTCATAGTATGTATGTATGTATCTTAGGTTTACTGCTCTCACTTTCCCTCCCTCCCGCCTTTCTTCTGCTCCCTATAATCTTTCTATGACTTGCACAGACTGTTCCAGTTTTTCATCTCAGGAGAAACAAACAACAAATAAAACAGACAAATGAATCAGCAACAAATAGATTTCCATTCAAAACGCATCTGTTCGACTTCCCATTCATTTCCACAATTAAAACAAACAGCATTATAGACATTATGGAACCCGGAGATCATCTAGGCAACCCCCAGCTTAACAGAGGCTCTGCAAGGAAGGGGGTCACACGGGGCCGCCTTGGCCCAGTCCCTCCAGCGGAGGAGATGACACCCTCTCTTTCCTTGCTGAATAACCCTCACTGCTGACAATGTTCTCCTAAAGGTTAGTCAAAATTGACTTCCCTGAAACTTTCGACTATCGATGGGGGCTCATTATAATGTCCCAGAAGTCAATACATTCTACTATCCTTGTTCCTGATAGCAAGGATAACCCAAATGACACTGGCTGAGTTCACACACCAGAACAAGCAACCCGGTGTGGTTACCATGGCTTGCAGGGTTTTTTTACCTGACAGACAATAAAGTGGTTTCTACTTTATCATGGTTTCCAACTGCCTCGCTCAGTCCTCCCACTGTTGGCGTATTTCCCATCAGCCACTGTGCCTGAAATTTGATCCCAAGGTGCCTCACTCCCTGCCGACGTCACCTGCCTCGTCCTCATTGCTCTGCACAGGGGCTGATGACTGGAGTGGCTCCTGCAGTGGCCGCTCTTTCTTTCTTTCTTTCTTTCTTTCTTTCTTTCTTTCTTTCTTTCTTTCTTTCTTTCTGTCCTTCTGTCCTTATTTATTTATTTAAAATATTTATATGCCGTCCTATTCTCAAAAAAGCCTCAGGATGGCTTACAATGTAAAATATAACATAAATAACATAAATATCATAAGTTAAATTCCCAACCCACACTGGCTGCAATTAAAAACATAGAAAAGACAATATTAAAACTTATTACAATACCGCTGGAATGAAAAGGTCTTTACCTGGCGCCTCCTCCTTTCCAGAGGACTCTGTGGCAGTTGCAGACTAGGACCGTGGAAACCGTGATTCTGGGTTCAGACAATATGAGAAGCCACGGTGGTATGGAGAAACCATAGAACAAACTGTTGCTCCTTACTGTGGATTCGAAAGGCCAAATGTACCACGGAGAGATCCCATGCTTGGGTTCAGAAGACACAACAGACCAACAATGACTTAAAAACCCATCAAGGTTTGTCATGTTGCCCTAACCCAGCTGCTGTGTGGCATTCTCTTAGAACCTGAGGCAGGGAAATAGAAAACTCAGTGGGAATAAAGGGACAGATTTTGTGCGTCTTTCTTTCCTTCCCCCTTTCAGAACAGATCCAAAGGGAAAATGTGCACCATCCACAGAGTTCTTTATTCGGTTCTCGCAAGAGGGGCTGCTGCAGGCAGCCCTCACCAAACATTTACAGAGGGGAAAAAGCCAATGCACCCTAACTCAACAATGCAGAATGGGGATCTCTGTTTACAAGTCATTTTCCTAATGATGCTGGGAAAAGAAACGCACATTAATTTGGCGCTCAGGCTCTCTATGGCACTGTGGGGAGGCCAGAGCAATAACACAGGCAGCATAAAATGAAGAGGGGAACGGCTACCCCGACAGCATTAAATGCTCATAAAGGAATTTGGGTCTCTCTGCTGTCAGGGGGACATGCAGCACTGATGCATGATGCACATTTCGACGAGACTGTTGGATGCCACAGAGGTCCATGGCCACCATTCAGATGTCGAATGACGCACCTTTCAGGAAGCCTGGGAGTGGAGCAGTTTGGCTTGGGTCCTTCCACCTGCTGAAAAGTAGGGAAGGTTCGGAAGGTGCCACCAATTCCAGTCCTTCCACAGGAGGGGTGGGGGGAACCCATCCTTCAGGTTCACCTCTTTCTTAGGGTCCGTAAGGCAACAACAGGCAAAAGACAGATTCTACCAAAGCGAAATTCTTGGGAAACCTGCTGGGGATTAAAAAAAATAATGCTGGAATGGCAAGTCATCCTGTTGCTTCTTATGTTTTATAGGATTTGGGGTGTCACAGGGTACATCAGATAGGGAGATCCTGAATCTCTCTTTAATATGTTGTTTTCCTGGTTTATCTTTTATCATTCACTGCTCTGAAATCTTCATACTGCTGTATACAATAGCATAGAAATCTTGAAAATAGATGAAGAAAATAAACATTCCCTCTTGTTTTCAGGGTGGCCTCTTGTACATCACCTAAAGAAGAATCACATCTGCATAATATTTGTATATGCAAATCCCCCCATACCCACAAGCTTAGAAATAATTATAATTTAAACAGACAGGCAGCACAAATTGTGCTGGCTGAGTGACTGCCAGTCGGCTGCTCCTGGTGGCAACTTTCTTTGGAGGGTTCTAATTTTCATACTAGGCTTGGACTGGACTGTCTTGCACACCAAGGATGTCTTCAACAAATGGGGCGGTCCGTTCATGGCCCTTCGAACGGAGCCTTGCCTGGTGCCTGCAGGACATAGCCATGGTCTGATTTCCTGGAGGCCGAGGAAGCAGGTTTCCACCCAACTGGCCCATGTTTGGAACCCGGCATCCTCTCTCCCGGGGCCTTTGACTACAGAACCACATCCCCATGTGACTCCAGCTGCTAGAAGTTGTTCTCCAAAATACCCGGAGGGTGTCAGGTTGGGAGAGGCTGGTCCAGGTTGGGACAAACCCCATCAGAAGCCGTCCCTCCAGAATCCAGGGCTTGCTCCCGTGCGCAACCTGTCCTGCACAGTGAGCTGAGCCTGTGGAAACTTTTGCAGGTGCAAAGGAGGGGAGCTGCAAGCAGGTGCACCGGGTGCCAGTCCCACCTGCCCTCTTGCTCGCACTCCTGGTGGTGGCGGTGACCATGGGGCTTGCGGAGGAGGGCCTGTGCTTGCGCAGCGCATGGGGCTGGATTCCTGGCGAGCGCCCCCGGACGCTGGGAGTGCTCACCAGGAACGTGGGCTCTGGGGCACTGCAAAGGGGACTGGAGTCCAGGGAGCCAAGCCCATGGGATCCGACCTGTTCCCAGCCCCCAGATGGTTTTCTGGCACAGCTCTAGGCTGGCCTAGATGCTGGACTAGGACTCCCTGGGCTTTTTCTCCCACATCCTCTGCCGCTGGGCCCTCTCTCAGCTTGACCTGCCGAGGACCGAAGCTGGGATCGTCTGCATGAAAAGCCCGGCATCGCTCGGAAATCGTCCCCCCTCGCCCAGGCAGTGGGCCGCCTCCTCCATCTTTAGCAGGATATTGGGAGCAAGAGACTTCCGACACCTCTGTTTCCCCCCAGCAGCTGTAGATCAGGACATCACTCCCGTGGCCAGCGGGGTCTCAGGAGGAGAGTGTGTTGGAAGGTGCTGTCCTGGATTACATGCCCCCTGCCTCCCACCCGATTCCTCCTCGCCTTCCCAACCCCACGCCTTTGACAAACCCCAGGGCTGCAAGGTGGCACGGTTGTGGCTAGCGTAACCCCAACCCTCAGCCCTGGGGCCCTCCAGGTGTTCTGCCCTTCCGCTCCCACCAGCTCCAGTGTGCCAGCCGCCACATCTGCCAAAAATGGCCCACAGATCATGTGGAGCACACCAGCTCGAGAAAACCTTCCTGCCCCCTCTGGGTCGGCCACATGCTGCAGCTCTTGGGGGCTGCAGGGGGGCCTTCTGTGGGGGTCCGACCCACCGCAGCGTCTCACATCCAGCCAACGCAGCACATGAGACAAAGTGCATCAAGTCCTCCCTGGGCTCGGTTTAATCCCCGCTGCCACAGCGCAGCCCCTTCCCACGGAGACAGCGAGCCATTCCAACGCAGCAAGGGCGGGTGAGCAATTTCATTCTCCGGTTGTTCCCGGGGATCGGTTCCACAACATCTGCTGCAGCATATGTCATTCCTTACAATGGGCAGCCCTTGCCGCTGAGGGGAAGGGACTCGAGCGGCGGGCAGATGAGGCCTTTGACGAGGAAACCAACTCCATGATGAGCGGCGGGATGCGAGCAGCAGGCCTCTCCCCTGCCTTCTATGGCTGCGCACAAGCCTTTCTGGGGCTTGCTCGACTGGGGAGAGATGCGAGCCCAAAGGTTAACTGTGATCTGTTTGGCTGGAGGGCGGTGTGCCAGAAATCAGGAGCAAGGAGACAGTCGGCTGAGCCAAGCACAGCACGGAACGCAACACCGGTTGTACCACAGACGAGGGTAGTCAGCTGCTGTAATTAGGCGACATTAAAGGAAACATGAAGAAAGAGTAAATACTCATTACTTTATCCATTTTATCTCTTGCTTTGAATGCAAGCAATCAAAGGCTCTCGCTTGCAAGGGTGTTTTCTGGTTGGCTGTTGTCTTCTCAGGTTCTCCTCCATAGTTTTCTTCCTCTTTGCTCAACAGAGGGCAAGTGAAGGCACCATTGAAATGAGCTAAGAGGGCGGCGCACGTCCCGTTCCCACTGTGGGCAAGACTGACAAGCCATCTCAAGGCACTGAAGCCACCAGCGTGATCGACAGGGATCCTTTTGGGCTGGCTGGGCAGAGCTTTGAGAGTCCACGGTGACCCTTCTGGGTGGAGAGGGAAGGACAGGAAATTGGCAGTCCGTGGGCCTGGGAATTCCGGCTGACAGCTGCTGTCACTTCCCAGTTTGCGCTTGATGCTGGTCTGCCCAGCAATGGCCAGTGGAACTGGTGACATGGGCAAAATATGCATGCATTGCTCCAGTTGAGCTGATGGGAGTCCTGCGTGGAGCAGGGGGTGGACTCCATGGCTTGACGAGAGGGAAGGACAGGAAATTGGCAGTCCGTGGGCCTGGGAATTCCGGCTGACAGCTGCTGTCACTTCCCAGTTTGCGCTTGATGCTGGTCTGCCCAGCAATGGCCAGTGGAACTGGTGACATGGGCAAAATATGCATGCATTGCTCCAGTTGAGCTGATGGGAGTCCTGCGTGGAGCAGGGGGTGGACTCCATGGCTTGACAGGCCTCTTCCAGCTCCAGTATTCCACGAGTCTATGAAAACATGAGCATTAACATGAAAATGTGACTGCAAAATGACAAGGCCTCGAGGAGAAGGGGGGTTGTGGATGGGTGCAGCCCTGGGAGCCAGTGGACTGCCAACGGGTAAAGCACGTGCCTCTACATGGATGCTGGAGATGACAAGAACGTTGGACGCCCAAAGCCACGGAGATATGAAACTCTTTGGAGAAGGCCTCAGGGGCCATTTGCCAGAGTAGGGCTCGAAGTGCAAGAACGGAGGCGCCCTGCGGGGTCAGGCTGAGTGTTCATCCAGTCTGGCATTCTGTGTGTGCAGTGGCCAACCAGCTGCCCACAGGAAGCCCCCAATGTGACGCAGGAGAGGATTCTTCACTCCGGCCCAAGTTCTCCAGCAAGGGATGTATCTGGGCATCCTTCCTCTGACACTGGAGGAAGCGCAGGTAGCCCTGAGTGGCCTCCTTTGCCATGGGCTCCTCTAGTTCCTCCAAATGGGTGGAGGTCACCACATTTTGGGCTGAAACTACTGGGGAAAAGTGCATATTTTAGCATAAATTGCTTGTATCGGAAGCCTTGAGAGAGGCACTTCAACCAGTGGGAAGCTTTCCTGCACAAAAGCCACCCAGAAAGTGCTGCTGGCGGGAGCAGAGCATGGCTGGGGGAATGGGGAGACCTAGGGGGCCAGGTGTGGGTCCAGGCCTAGGGAGCCACCCCGTGCTCTAGGCTCCTGAGAATAACAGAGCTTAAGGACGTGCCACCCTGGCGCATCGCTGAGTGACCTGCCCTGGTTCCTTTCAGGATAAATAAGTGTATTTATCCGGCTTATTTTTACCCTCAGAATAATCCACAGAGTAAAGACATTTGAGACACAGAAACTGGTCCCAAACAGAGTGGCCACGGCTCCTCTTTTACTCCTGTTTGAAAGGTTGCCATTGCTGTTGTTTGCAACTGCATCATATTTGAACTCTGTCTTTGTCTTGCGAGGAACCCAAGGCTGCTTATAAAGTCTTCCTTCTCTGCATTTTATCCCCACAACAACAACCCTGCGAGGTAGCTTAGGCTGAGAGTGACTGACTGGCCCAAAGTCACCCACCCAGTGGGTTTCATGGCCAAGGGGGGCTAAAATCCAGATCTAGCAGGTTCCCATCACTGCAGTTCACTGCTCAAGGATTGTCCTCTAATTTCAAGGCACCCTGTTTCCAATGGTGATTGGCCCAAAGCCAACAGGGCCATAATCCTATGCACGCTCAGACAGAATAAAATCCTACAAATCCTGCAACTTCTAGCCAGCTGGAGCATTCCTGGACTTGCAGGACGCTTTCCCGCCCATTGCATTGCAGCCTAAGAAAAGAGGGAAGAACAGAACCTGGAATTTTCCTGTCGGCTGCACACCCTTGGACACCGTCAGAAGCATGGGATGCCCCAGCTCCTGTCCCAGGGTAATGGGGGAGCTGTTTTGTCCCTCCTTCCACAACACATTTTTTATTTTATTTATTTATTTATTTATTAAAACATTTTTATGCCGCCCCATTCGCCGAAGCCTCGGGGCGGCTTACAACAAAAAATAAAATAACATTTTAAAATACATACAATAAAATACCAATATATAATATAAAACATACACTATAACATACATTTCCGCCTTGGGGGCAATTCATAAGTGGGCACTGTAGTCTGAAGTCCAATGGCGAGTTTCCTGGCAGAGTGGGGAACGCAAGCTTGGGATCTTGCCCAGAGGTAGAGCAATCTATGCCCTGCAGCCCCGGCCAAAGCTGCCCAGGTACTACAGCGACGAAAGACCCCATCCGGGGCTTTGGAGAACCAGTACCAGGTGGCCCCCGAGGAGAAAAGGGACCGGTGTTACTCCCGAACAAGGCTGTTTCCAGTGCCCGTTCGTTTACATTGAGGCTTCCCCCGTCCAAGTTCTCCATCCTGCCAGGCTGGGCTGGGCGATGAAACCAACTCACCTTCATGGGCTCTAACTGGATTTAAATGCGTTCGCTGCATTGTCCTTTGCGAGCGTCAAAAGACTTTGGGTGGCAGACGCTAACTGTTTCCCAAGCCGCTGCCAGCGGGCTGGAGCAGCCAGGCAAAAGAGCTGGACAACTCGCATCCGGTCCCTGACAAGGTATTTATCTGGCCTCCGTTGCTATAGCAACCAAACACCGAATCATAAATACCCACTCAGTCCTTCTGTCAGGTGCTGGCCCAGTTTCGCAGAAGGACAGCCAGGGGAGGGAGGGGGAAGAAGCGCTTAACAAAGGCCATCGCGTACTCTCAAAACAAGCTCGAGCAAATCCCGACAAAATCCATTCTAAACCTGAAGCATCGGATGCGGTTGCGGCAAACAAGGGGCCCGATCCAGCGTGTGTTTCCCTGCACGAGGCGAAAATGTGCAGGCTGCCGGCAGGGCGAGATGGTAGCCGCCTTTGGTGACTATAAAGACGCAGCTTGGAGCCCGAGCTTGGCAGCGGCCCTTCTCTCCTGGCCGCGGCTCAGAGCGGCGTGGGGCTTATAAGCTTGCAGAATCAAAACCAGGTGCCATCAGCCAAACAGATGGTCAGCTTGGCCAGGGCTCTTTTCCCATTCGATGAGGGAGGGAAGGAGGGAGAGAGTTTGCACGTAGAACTGCCTGCGCACCAGCGCCCAGGGTCGATGTGGCTGGGCACCTGTCCAGGGCCCCCGGAACAAGAGCCGCTGGGCCACGCCTGGGCAGGGCCCATGTGCCGCTGCCTCTCCTGTGCCGGACAGCAAGAGGAGAAGATGGAAAATCCCTTTTCCCCGGGAAGCCAGCAGCTGGTCTGAAAGATGAGCAAGAGAAGCCGCGACCTCCGGCAAAAATGTGGATGAGAAGATAGACTCACTGATGGAGAGGACCACAAGGGCCTCCAAACCTGGGGCTGCCCCCCGTGGCTGGGGATCCCCCCTTTCCTTGCCTGTAAACCCCCTTGGAACTGAGGCTTGGGGCAGCCATGGCTCTGATCTCCTGCCTCCCCGCTTGTCCCAGCACAGCCAGAGCAGGGACGAAGAGCAAGATGGCCCTCCCTTCCAGGTGGAAGGCCTTCCACCTGTCATGCGCTGCGGGGGCTGGGGCAGCACGGACGGCCGCAGCCCAAGGCGCATGGTGCACCAGCTTCTCTCCCTCCACCTGGCTGCTGCCTCCCACCCTTCGCCACCCAGGGTAGCCACCCCCTTTGCCCCACAGCAGGGCTGGCCCTGCTCGTTGCCACGGGTGCAGGGCCGAGCAGACTCCATCGCCAGGCAGAAGCAGGCCTGGGAAGACACTCTTGGCTCCTCTTCCAAGCCA